GACAATCAAGTATTTCAACAAGCACACATGCGAAGAGAAGTGTCCCAGGGGACCTGGTGCTGTAGGAGGCCAAACCCGCTGCCAGATGGTAAGCTATCGGGAAAAGCTAGATTAAACCTGCAATGACGCCTACATCATCCATCAAAGAGTTGGACCTAGAGCATACAAACTGAAGACGTTTGTAGAGAACGATGTCCCTCGAAGCTGGAGTGGTGACGATCTAAAGAAATTCTCCCCTTAGAGATATCCCTGCTGTTAGGAGTACTGTCATAATTGTTTTCTATAACCATTCTTATATTCTGAAAGATCAATATAATGAAAATGATTTTTTACAATCATGACATCTCGAAGTTCAAGATTTCACATATTCAATATTGCTAACAACACTCTCTGATTGTTTTTACGCTCGGGGAACTTACGTAATCACACTTGGGGAACTGACATAATTACACTCGGAAAAACAAACTTTGTGAATGGCTAAAAACTTATCAATCCATGCAAAGATTCTCAAGTGGCATATGGGATGTATTAGCACCCGACAACGACAAGCTCCGCAAGGGGTGTGCGAACGATCATCCTGCGCTATACTTTAAACTTTAACTGCTGGCAGCGATAAGCTCCGCGAGGGGCGTTTAATTATCGCATGTGGCCAATGAAACATATCGACACTTGATAGTGTCATGCTCCGCGAGGGGTGTGCGAACGATTGTCCTGTGCACTATATTAAACGTTAGCACTCGACAACGACAAGCTCTGTGAGGGGTGTGCGAATGTCGTGCACCCTACTTTAAACGTTATCATCCGACAACTACAAGCTCTGCGAGGAGTGTCTAACTATCGACCGTGGCTTATGAGACGTATCTGCACCAGACAGTGATAAGCTCCACGAGGAGTGTGCGAACGATCATTTTGCACCCAATTTTAAATAATAGCACCCAAAAACGACAAGCTCCGCAATGGGTGTCTAACTATCGTCTGTGGGCTATGAGGCGTATCGGCACTCGGTAGTGACAAGTTCCACGAGGGGTGCGTCAACGATAGTCCTGCGCCTTAGCTATGACATTAACACCCACAAAAAACAAACTCTACAAGGGATCTATGACAATCGTATATGCAAAATACACGTGCACTTGCCACCAACTCATAACACTGAAATTAATCGTGCATTCCAACAATTAACAGGTAAGGGAGAAAAAGGCCGGGATAGTGAAACCCCGAAAATATATATATATATA